TGAGGCACTATTGGCTGGGTAGTCTCTCCAATCACAGGCTGAGCTGGTGACATCACTCCCTAATTCAACCCATCCCCTTTTCCTGGATTGACAGATATGCACGCACACTTAACTGACAATACATATAACTTTGTAACTTACTACATTAATTACAACAATTCATTACATTAATTAGTAATTCATTACAACTCATTTGAAACAATTAGCTAGAAACAATTAACTATTATTAACCCCTCCTACTAAAACAGATTTATTTATAACAATAATGAGAACTAGAATAAACCTTTAGAACACTTTTTACCCCACCCCAGCCCTTCTTTCCTTCCCACCAACAGTGCAGGGAAACAAAACATGGGGTTTGTAGTCAGTTTATTACTTGAAAAGATCTTTGTTCAGTTCGCTTAGGGAGAGGAGTCTCTTCTGCCATAGGGTCTTTCCCACAAGAGACAGCACTATGTGAACTTTTCCAATGTGGTTTAATTTTCACGAATGTCAGTCTCGCCTGACATGCTACAATGTGAGCTTCTCCCATGGGCAAAAAACAGTGTTCTGGCAACTCCACAATTGTTTTTCCATGTTCATGGAAAAACACTAGTTCATGGGGTGCAATTTTTAAGGATGAGCTGTTTTAGGATAAAAGCAAGGGTCCTTTTCCTCTATCTCTGAAAGCAAGTGTTCTCTCTCTCTTTGTTCAAGCCTCTCACCAAATCATAGCTTCTCATCATCCACATGTTCCCGTGTGAGCACTCTTTTCTCACAGGCTGTGGGTGAATTCTGCATCCCTCCATGCACTTCATGAATTACAGGGAAACAGTTTGTTGTATTATAGTTCTCACTACAGCTTGCAGAAAAATCTCAGCTCTAAGGCTTGGACAACCTCTTCCCCCCCCCCCCCCCCCCTCCTTTGCACTGATATTTGTGTTGACATCTTTACCTTTTCTTTCTCTCTGATTCGGGAGAGAATTGCTGGCTGCAGGTCCATTTGCTCTCAAATTGTATCAGTTGAAAAGATTTTATAGAGCTTGGCAGCACTGAAAAGTTCATCTCGTCCAGGCTGCAGATTGGAGAATCACTCATTGTGCCTCTCACTGTTGATCACGTGATCCCAGCTGGCACTGAGGAAGCCACACCAGTTGCTGGCTTCACTCTATGCCTTTTCTTCATGTGGCTTGTTGGTTTTTTTTTTTAAAAAAGAAAAGCTGCTGCTGCCACTTTTGTCTGTCTGTCTGCAACATAGCTGGCTAAAAGCAGCCAAGCAAATAAAGTCCTTTGCGAACCATGCTAAGATAGCTGCGGCTGTGCGGGACCACCCTGGTCGCACTGATTTCATTTGCATAGTCCTGGCCACGTGGTTGCTGCTGGATTGGGATGGTGGCAGCTGCATGGTTGCTTGTGGCGCCAGGATGGCCCCCGGTGGCATGGCCTGGCGGTCATGTCAGGACAGGGTCCAGCAACCACCTCCGAGAAGGGGGCCTGGCTGGTCGCACTGGAGAGGGGCCCAACAGCCCCCACCACCACCACCACTCCAAAGACAGGGAGAAAGAGAGGTTCCTGTGGTTTCTGTCTATCTTAACTATGTTCTCATAGAGACATTAGCAGCTTTTCTAAATGTCTTAGCGTTGTTGTGCCTATTCTCAAAGCTAGCCAGTGATTGGTTTTGCCAGGCATGGAGGAAGCTGCTAGCAGCTCCTCACAGCAAAAATCACTTCTGGCTGGCTTTTTCCATCCTCACCAAAAACAAAGGTATTTAAAACTACCAAATATCCCCTCAAAATATGAGAGTGGTTGACTCAGATGCCTTCTGCATTTAGTTTAACACTATTTGCAGCTGCATTATATGTTCCTTTGAGTGTTTTTAGTACTCTCCAGATGAGAGGTCATTAGGCAAAGTTTAATTCCAGATATGCTTACATGTGAAGCTGAAAGGTTTCTCCTCATGGTAGTTGTCAGAAAAGGCATTATTTCATGTTTCAGTAATTTCACTCTTCATTTCTTTAACATGATGACAGTGAAATACTCATCTGTGTTACCTGGGATAATAGTAATTGCCTGATTTCATCTGCAGAAGAGAGAGATTGGTGAGATGACCTCCAGTAAAAACACAATATGTGGACTGTATAACACCAGGTATGTACAGATTCGACTAGCTCGATCTTTCGTACTTCCTAGATCCAGCCTATCAATGTCCCAGGTGATCAGTGAGAAGTTCTTGTCATCTTTTTCTGTGAATCTGCACTAGCATTACTTGTAGTTGCATCTGCAGTGACGATAATGCAGCTACTGGTGTCTGCCTAGGCCGGGGCCACCCTGACTGCTGCTGCCACCAATTAAAATGTCATGTTGCACTGTGGGAGTTGTGAGAAGTTATTTTACAAATAGATGGTCAGGCATAGCAATGGGGAACAAAGACATATGGACCTCCTTGCTTGTCCCGAAGATTGTTTATTTTAACAAACAAAACACTTTTATGTTCTAAACTTAACCCAAACAAGCATGTATTGGCTCGCTGTCCCTGCAGAGTCACTGTTCATGCATCCCTTTACTCAATCAGCTCTCTGATCATGTGTCATCCATGCACCTTCCCAGCCTATCACTGCCTCATACACAAGGTAAGCACATGCCAGTATAACCTGATATCTGGTTACAGGACCTGGTTTGTACCTCACTGTTAGCTGAACCTTTCCCAGAGTGCTTTCTGTTGAGCTAAAGTGATCAGGATTTCTTGTCTCCCACAGCCAGGAATGAAATTAAGCCTACTAAAGAGGGTTAGAAAAGACAGAGCAAGAGGAAGCAAAATGGGAGGGAGTGAGAAGGGAGACAGGGGGAAAAGGAGGGCTTTACCACCAGGGGTTGGGGAGTGCTCTTGACATCCACAAGGCGGGGGTTGTGCATGCTGCCTGCCTGGGGACAATTCCTGTGCTGACAGGTGACATGAGGCAAGGGAGCATGCAGAGGGGAGGTCCAGAAGCCTGGACAGGGTCACAGCAAGGATCACAGTAGTGGTCAGGCTCAGAGCTGGGCAGGGCTGGACACAGGTGACTCAGGCAGGTACACAGAGAAGCAGGCAGGCTGTAGGTCAGGGACACAGGGAGGCAGGACAGAGGCAAGCACAAGCCAGTGAGGGCAGGAGTGCCAAAAGGCAGGCTGGGGCCTACCTTTCTAAGATTCAAAAGCCCAGAGAGCTTGTGACGCTGTTACTTTTTATGCCCCTGGCTCCTCCCAAGCTCCACCTGCTGACTGGAGACCGCTGGCCCAATCTATTGTCCTACTGCAGTCCATTGGTAGAGACATTTTGCCATTGATTGCAGGATACTTCTGGAAGGTTCAGTGTCATTGATGTTCCCCTGCTGACTGCCTGTCCCATGAAAGATATGAACTGGTTGCCAGGCAAAGTTTTCCCAGAGTCAAGGTTTTCCTCCATCTTCTCCTAGCTGCCTCCTTGACATGGTACATGTGCAGCCCCTCCCCCACAGGCCGCTGACAACCAGGGTTGAGACAAATCAAAAGTAAATTGGCTCCTCACATAATCCTTTTAAATAAATCCATTAGAAGTATACAGAACTGTTTTATTCTGCCTGTCGGCAGTGTGGGTCACATGCTCTGAAGAGACAATTAACCTGAAGTGAGAAATTTGCAAGCACCAAGTTACTGCGCTGAAACTTTTCACCTTATTGTGTAAGACACAATAAAACCTTCAGTTTCTTGCTAGAGAGAATTTCCAGAGCAGAGATGAAAAGATAGGATGAAATTAATAGAAATGCTGAAGTGTGGGGTTTTCTTTTTCTTCCTTTTCCTGCTAGGATCTCACTGAGTGCATGCAATTCCACAGAGGGCCCATATGATGGCACTGTTTGCTGAAGTCTTTATTTCACAGACTGAAGGACAAATCCTGCACGGAGGAAAAGAGACGGAAAAGGACAAATCTCGCTAATGGAGCTTTTCATGTTGCAGTGGTCAAGTGACATGGTCAACTTTCACTTTTATGTGCCTGTACCATCATGTTCTTTTCAGTCCCATTCCCAGGATTCCTGCACAGGGAGTATTGATATTTTTATTTCTTTTTTTTTTTTTTTTTTTCTTTTTTCAGTTATGTCAAATACCAAAGAATAGAAAAATATCTATTTCTTGGATAAATGCCCAAGTGTGGGATAATCTACAGACATATGTGTATATGTTGCATGTTCTTTTTTTTTTTTTTTCCTATCAGAAATATAGTAACACCTAGCCAGTTAAATTTAAATTCCTGAATAGGAACTCGGAAATTTGAAATGCAGATGTTCTGAGCACATACCTTGAAATCTCTTGTTTATTAGTTCCTATTTTATACCTTAAGAAGCATTCAATATGCTCTTACTTGAACTGCTTGTAAACAAACTTCTGCTCTTTCACACTTTATGCAATAATTAAGAGTTAATATATCCCCTTTTCTTGGAGGAAATACAACCCTTTAAAGTCACTGAAATATAGTGGCATCACCTGAGATAGCTGATGGAGAAATTCATGTGCCTATACATACATGTCCAGGGCCTTTAGATGCCATGGGGTATCCAAGACACTCCTCGAGGAAAGACACAAGAAATCTTGGGCACCCAGTCCCATTGGAAAGCCTGTGGGCAGCAAGTGGGAAACCACATGGGATTATTTCTCTCTGAGTGTTACAAGACCTTTGCAAAGTCAGGATGCCTGAGCCTTCGAGGGAAAGGATTCAAAGCTCACATCTGTGACTCTGGGGTAGGAGCTACTTCCAGCCTTCCCTTCCAGGGTCTATTCTCCTGTCCATTAGTTTGGTGCTGCTTTTGGAGTTCTTAGGACCCCATCTCTCAAGTGGGGGGAAGAGTGGTAGGAGTTTTCTGCTATTTTATTTAATAAAATTATTACAGCCAGAGTCAGAACAGGGGAGGGTGGGAGCTGTGAGGAAGGGACAAAAAAGGTTGGAGACCTCCTTTTCTGGCAGCAATAGCCCATTATGGTATTTTGTATTATTTGAATCAGCCTTTTTTTTTTTTTTTTTTTTTTTTTTTTTTTTTTTTTTTTTTTTTCCCAGAGGGCTTTGATGCTCTTTCCAGCAGGTCAGGCCCCAAGCCATCATGCCTTCCCCAGATGTGATGTGGGAGGATATTTGTCAACTCCCTCATCATAGCTTATACCCCTGTGGATCACTAGATTTTGTGGTGCTGGGTAAATCCTGTGGATTTTGAAGATGGGGTTCAGCTGCTTTTACATGAAACGTGTCCCACAACAAAAATTGCAGGTAGGTACGTTGGGACATCTCTGAAAGCATCAGCAAACTGTGGGCACCTAACTCCAGATAAACACTTGTGAAAGGCTTGCTGTAGTTGTTTTCAGAAAGAGACGTGATAGCTCAGCCTATCCTACCTGTAAGTAACTACTCCCAGTTCAGTAGGAAAAGACGCCATTTGTGGTCGTGAAAGTTTTACTGAGTTTAGGATCCCCTTCCTAATCAAGCCATTAACTTTTAAAGATGAAGCAGAGAAGAGCACAATGTAACAGCAATAAAAATAATGAGGGTTGGAAACGAGTCTGTGTTGCTGTCTGGGAATTTGCAGAGGAAACCTGAGTTTTGACATGCAACTGTTATTGTCATGCTGCATTGATATTCAGACTGATGGTTGCTCAATGAATCTGTCTCTTCTTCTTCCAGTATAATGTGAGACAAATTTGCACAAGATGAGAATATTTACGTGTTCAAAATGCAGACTTCCAACCTGATACTGTAAGAAAGGAAGTTTGTAATTGAAAATTAATTCATACTGGAAAGTGTAGTCAATAGACAATTACTGAGATACAGCTTGTGTTTATTGCTTGAGGAATTTTACACAAGATTTATAACAACTAAAACCAATTACCTTTACATGTAAAGAACAGTCTAAAAAGATGAAACTTAATTAATGTAAAAGCCTTCAAACTTTATCTCCTGCAAATAATCACCAACCAAACAGTAATTTTAAAAAAAGGATGTGAATGTCAGTATGTTATTTGTGTTGTAAAAGATTACAGAAAAATCCCCATATTGTACACAATTTTTGTCCTATTAGTTTTTCAGAAGTGTGGTGCAACCATTTTACTCCAGAAGAGCAGGAGGTAAAAATCGGTTACAATATCTGTGAAACTGAACTCAAGTAGGCACAATTTTTTATAAAAGTATTCCAGTGCACTGCTGCCTTTTCCATCCTCTGTCCCCATCCTCTAGACACCTCTGAAAACCCCAGAAACACGGGAGTTGCATTCTTCATGCAGAGACTTCAGAAGGAGTTCCCTGGATGTATTAATTCCCATTTGTTGGAAAAGGTATTTGACTCTTGACCCAAATCAGAGGCAATATCCTGTTCAGAGCTCTGAAAGGAAATTCCTTATGACATCAAAATGAGACTCCTACAAGAGGCCACTCTTCAACCACTTTTTCCTCATCTGTAGTCATGTTCATTAGAAAAATTAAAGTATTAAAAATACTTCCATGGGACAAGTTACAGTGGAGACAATTTTCTTACTTTTGGAAAATGTTTATTCTGGAGTGCTGTGTCCAAGTCTGGGCTCCTCAGGACAAGAGAGAGATGGAGCTCCTGGAGCAGGTCCAGCAAAGGGCTACAAAGATGAGGAAGAGTCTGGAGCATCACCCTGCTGCGGAAAGACTGAGGGATCTGGGGCTGCTCAGCCTGAAGGGAGCCCCAGCTGAGAGAGAACCCCATCCCTGTCTGTCCCTGTGTGCAGGAAGGGTCAGAGCAGGGCCCAGGCTCTGCTCCGGGGGCCCAGCAATGGCACCAGAGGAGCGAGCAGGGACTGAGCCCAGGGAGTTCCACCTGGACATGAGGGAGAACTTCTGTCCTGGGCAGTGACCGAGCACTGGGACAGATTGTGCAGAGAGGGGATGGAGTCTCCCTCACTGGGGATATTCCAGACCCCTCTGGACACAATCCTGTGCCTTGTGCTCTGAGAGGGCCCTGCTGGAGCAGGGAGGTGGGACCAGATGACCCCACTGTGGTCCCTTCCAGCCTTAACTGATTCTGGAATTCTGTGAGACAGTGAATGCATTTCATTTCAAAATGCAATTTCACTACTTTTCCATCTAACAAGAGTTTTTTAAAAATCTCAAAGACAAAGGATCTTAAAGACATAAAGCCAAAGAAGTCGGAACAAACAGAAGTCTCAATACCAATTATAGAAAATGGTTCAGAATGTGAAGACCACCTCAGCATAGCCAGAGCCTGAGTGCCACTGAAACCTGGGCTATCTCTCTTTTGCTCCAGTGGAGCAGTGAATGTGGGGAACTGCCTTGACTGGGGTGAAGGCCAAGGCAGAACCTTAGAGCTAGCAATGCTCCACACAGAGAGGTAGTATTCCTCAGCAGCAGGGCAGGGACTGAACAAGGGAGAAAGAGGACACTCTCCACAGTCGTGACAGTCCAACTAGTTTATTGAAGTCAGAGGGATCAGGATGCAGAGAGCACCGACCACTTCTGTGCACGGGGTTTTAAGGCATAGCAAAACCAAGTGCAGGCACAAAATGATAACCAATAAGGTGGCACTAGAGGGGGAGTTCAGGGGCAGATACCAACCAGGATAGGGGGAGGAAGAAAAATCTTGGCTGAGAATTGGTCCAGGCACTGAGTGGCAGAGAATGTTCTGGAATAAGGGGCAGGGTTGCCTTGAGAAGCAGGGAAGGGTCTGGAATAAAGGGAGGGGATACCTTGAGGGACAGATGGTAGGAAGGCACAATTAGGAAGAAACCAACTTGGGGAAAACATAGGGGGATAACAGAACAAACCATATAACAATGACTTAAAGAAATAAATACGAACCACTGCACCCAAGGGCACTGGACAAATTGGAATAGTATTGAAGAATGGAAAGGTGAAGCCTCTTTCTCCAGAGTCCTGCACTATTTGTTGTCAACACATCCAGAGCCTGCTGGGTTCGGGTCTTGAAAGAAGCTTTCCCTAGACTTTGGTTCTGGGAATTGCCATTTTGATTCAGATTTTGGGGAAAGTTTGAATCTTTAATTTTTTTTCCTTTGTTTTGTGACTCCCATACTGAACAGATCTTGGTAAAGTAACTGAAGGGCCTTTGGCATTAGTGCTATTGGGTTATTTTGTGTGTGGGTTTGTTTTTTTTTTTTTTCTTGTTTTTTTTTTTTCCTTTGCTCTGTGAAAGACAGTAGTTTAAACTCTCAATGACTGAAATGCCTAGTTCTAACTGTGATGTGGGATCAAGATAAAATATGAAAGACATGTGCAATGGTCTGTAGAAATCAGATAGGATAAAGTAATTATTCCTTTTCTTTCCCATTTAAAGTCGGTGAAATTCAACCTATTGACTTTGGTCTTTTGGTGAGTTAATATTTTTGTAATATTTTCTTCTCTGTCCAAAAATATGAACAGAGCATCCAAAATTAGGAGGGTGAAAATTTTTTTCTCTTCCCATTTGTAATGACCACAGTTAATTTTTCTATAGGCATTTTGCTTTCTTTTTTTCTTTTTTATTTTTTTTTTGTTTTGTTTTATGTTTTTTAAAATAGCACCAATATATGAATAAGTAGATTTTGCCTCTTGCTTAAGAAGATGAAGATCTCCTGTCTGAAACCCTGTGAGTAAAAACGTGGTCATTGCAGGGGAGTTTTACCTCCAGGCACAGGGAAGATAAACAATGATTATCTCAGTAATTTTCACCCTGGAGTGCAAAGAAGCTGCAAATTAGTTATAGAGAAGTAAGTGTGTGTGGGTGGAAATTTTCCACTGATCTTCCCTCTTAAAATTATTTATGAGTTTAAAGAATAATTAGAATGGGAGGAAAAAAAGCCACAAGAAAATTTATTGATCTGCTATTCTAGAGCTTGGGGTTTGTGCTGCTTTTTCCAAAGCTGCAGCAATCTTAAGGTTTGTTTTAGCTGCTGGGAAGGCACCTAAATCTTTAACACCTGCACCAAAACAGAATTTAGTGCTGAAGTGACCCTGGAGAGGGAAAAATGCTGAGGGGAAGTCTAGTCTCCTGTGATTGTTTTCCATGTGAAATGTGTAAAAAGTGCAGAGCTCTCCTGCAGAAGTCACTCTTCCACTTTCTCCTGTGCAAGCAGGAATCATGATCTGATGGCAGGACAGATTTGTTGCTTTGTGAGCAGTTGTGGGCACAAAAGACAAAACGTGTCCATGGGCTATTATGCACAGACCTCCTGGGTGGCTTCTCAGCACTTGATTACACTTTAATTATTTTTGTAATGTGAAAGTGAGCCTACTCTCCTGAGGAGAAAGAACTGCTTCTATTAATCTATCAGGTTATAGCAGGGGATCAGCAATTAGCTGTGTGCTTTCTATTCTGCTATAATTATTAATAATGAGCAGCCTACAGGAGCCATGTTTCCCACAGCAAATCCTATTCCATTCAGCAGTCAGATGGGTTGTTTTGGGCACAGTTTGAGAGATGGATCAAAGGGAGTGTGAGCTGTGCAGAACTGAACAGAGCCTGGGCAGGCGGCTCTGGCTGGTGCATCCCCTGTGACGTGGTAGCACCAACAGCACCAGACCTGGAACAGAACAGACAGGTTCAGAGGATGCTGTCAGCAGAACACAGCCCACAGCCTGATGTAGGAACTTCCTTCCTCAATTTCTGTTGCTGCTATTAGCAGCACAGATGGTCTCTCCAGCAGTGAAAGGTACCTCCACTGCCTTTCAGAGAAAGCAGAGGGAGAGCATTTTGGGGGTGGATCATAAGTGCTGGTCCTGTTACTCCCCAGTCATCTGCCAACAGAGAATTGTGGGGGTGGATATGTTGAAGGTTGGACTTGATATTGGATGTCTTATCCAACCTCAGTGATTCTGTGATAGGTACTCATATTACAGTACCATATTTCAAGATACCAATGACCTGCCCAAAATTTATTCAGCCTCATTTTCAGCCCAGATATCTACAGCCACGTCTCACAACTATCTCAGGGAATTTTTTTTTTTTTTTAATAGGCAAAACCCATTCTTTTCACTGTTTTACTGAAAACGTGCAGTTACTCAGAATTGTCTCCAAGAGAGGTTGAAGTGCCACTGGGCAAGTAACTGCATTATCAGAAATTTTATATGTTGGATCCGAAAAATGCTACATGGGCAAAAGTGATTTTGGAAACCATATTTTTGACACCTCCATTTGGCTAGAACATGCCGTATAGGAATTTTCCCTTTCTCTACTATTGCTTGGTGTGAAATTTTAATCTGTGGGAAAGAAAAAGTATATATGACTAAATAACATACATGTACAGAGCAGACTGTGAAATTAATCCTCAGTTCTATCTTATCTGAATTTTCCAGATCTTGATACTGCAGCCTGATTTTTTCTTCTAAGTGTTTTTGGCAAGTGCTTCTGGACCAAGTAAGTTCCCAGCAAAAGGGAGAATTTAATAACTGTAATTTTATTAAGGAGTCCTGCTTCTATTTGATAACTTCTGCTAGGAAAAGAACTTTACAAGATTAGTGTCCCTCTGAGCAATTAAGTAGCAGGCTCCCCTAATCTCTGAAGTCATACACAAAACAAGTAGAGTAGTAGATTTTGCTTCTCTGGGGTCATAACAATTATTTATTGCTTTTAATAAGTCTGAGTTTTCTTGGATCTGTCAGAATATCCTTTTGTACTAGTGTAAACAGGAGTAATTCTGACAGTCTATTGTGCTGATAAAGTGAAATCAGAATTATGACTGATGTATTTTTAATTTCTTGCATCATGAAAGAAAAGGAGAACATAGAACAACTCAATGAAAGTTCAAACCCTGTGGATTTCTAGCTCTTTCATAAAAACATGTTGTTTTAAAAGTTTCAGCTTTATAGAGCTTCTCTCAATTTTACCCCATAGAGCAGGTTTATAGTGGACTTGCACTATTCAAAGTATTTTAGGGCAGGAAAGCACTCACATTGAACTTCTTTCATGATTTTGTTTTGATTTTGGTGCAGCTGGGACCTGGAGGGTGGAAAGGACCTGCGAAGGCTGCTTCCCCTCACACAAGTCAAGTCGGATATTCCTGAGGAAATGAAATGTGTCATGTGCTGCTTCAGTAGCTTTTCATGTACTGCTGTATTTGGTCAGGAGGGTCATATCCCAACATGTGACAGTCAGTCACTTCAATAATTCCTGGAAAAACAAATAGGAACAGAAGTAGTGGGAATAATGGAGCTAGTCATGAATACTCCTCTCCATGTTTTCAAGCAAGCAGGGGGACTCCAGCTCTGTGGGTTTTTGGCCCTGGGAAGTTGCACCACTATTTGTCAAGTTTGCTTTATTTAGGTGCTTCATAACCGCCCTTGCCTGGGCTGGAAAGGTGTTTGCAGGTGGGTTTTGGCTCAGTTGAGTTTACTTTTGGAGCCACTCCATGTCATCTACTAGTGTAACAAATCTGTGTGTACACAGTTATTTATGTATTTGCTTGAGTTTATAATATACATAGGTAGGAGGAATAATTTCTTAGAGTCAACAACAGCCTATTCTTCTCTACTTCACATTCTGTGTAGTAGAGAAGAATACTCTGTGAAGTATTCTGTGAAGTATTCTTCTTTACTTAACTTTCTGTGCTTTCTGTGCTATCTGTCTTTTATACACAATGATTTTCTGTGGATTTTTCTAGATTTCTGGAGCCTTTTCAAAGCATTCCCCAGCTCCTGTAAACTTTCCCCCAAAACCCAATACTCTGGATGAAGGCAGGCTGTCCTGCAAGAGTACATATGTTTCAAAACACATTTCCACAGCCATCACAATTAATTACTTTCATGATGCAGCCTTCAAAATTTGTGAGTTTTTCTTGTAGGACACCTTTGTAATACCTTAATGCAAGGAATGTCTTCCCATGCAAAGTGTGTTCTCCTGGAAACTTCATGTAGAAGCACAGGTTTCTAAGAGAATTCAATAAGGGACAGAAGCATCAGGCTATCAGGGAGAGGAGATTTCTCACTGAATAACCCCTCTAGCTCTGACCTCTCAGTCCTGAATCTCAAGGGAAAGCTAAACTGCTCCTTCCAAACAACCCCACACCAAATCATTCAAAAAAACAAATGTGTGAATTGGAATTCAAAGCTGCACTGAAGACTAAAAATCCTGTATTCAGGAAAAACGGTTGATGTGAGGTGTGCTTTGTTTTCCTTCTTCCGTTTGCAAGCTCCTACCTTTCCTACAGGTGATGAATCACCTGGCTCTGCTTTTCCCTGTTGAAGATTATCACCTTTTTCCCTGTGAACACTAATTTTCCTTCAGATGATTTAACTGCTTACCATATCAAGTGTAACATAGAACAGTTGTTCTCCACCCAGATTTAAAACTGACAGGTGCTGCTTCTCTTTCAGGTTAAGAGAAGAGCTTGCATGTCAAAAAGGTTGGCTATTTCTCCATGCATAGCAGATATTATCATTCCCTGAGCCCTCAATAGCCCTTAAAAACACAGAAGAGCTCTATGACCATTCCTCCAAGGCCTATGTTTCATGCCTTGAGGATTATGGCAAGCATTTTAAATGCAGTTATTTGATTCAGTTACTTCAAATGAATAAATTACCTTTCCCTCTTTCAGTCTGGGATGAAAGCTTGATGAAGAGAACAAAAAATTTTTTATTTCAAGGTGGCTCTGCTGTCCTCACTGGGAGTGCTGAAACATGGGTCTGTGAGGTTGAACAGTTAAATATTGCCTGGGGGGTAGAAGGCAGTGGATGTGACTCATCTCATGTCAGGACTGGCCTGGCCTTTCCTGTTTGTACAAAGAATGAACTCACTGTCCACTGCAAATATTCTCTTTCCAGCACAAATTCTCTATGTGTTATTTGCACTAGAAAGGGAATTTTTAGGTTGCCTTTTTATTAGATTTTTCTTTGCTAAAGACAAATGATGGCAGGCAGAATTCTGCAGAGGGTGAGGTGTAGAAGGACACACAATTGGTTACCCCTGAGACCATCAAAAGAAAATGATCATCCCATTGTCCAACCTCTAAATCTCACCAAAGGGAGACAACCAATAAATTGTCTCCAAAAACATTTCAGATTAAATATTACAGAGTCCTGTGTGGCCTTGTGCTGCCTGCATGAATACAGGACCTATCTTAGCATGTGTGGGGAAGAGAGTTGGGGAAGTGAGTGGAACTTATTGGTGGTGGCATACTTTAGCTAATTGTGGGCATGATTAACTAATTAGGTGGTATGGGGATGGACAAATGATGAAGAAAACTGTGCCACAATGTCCCACCTATCCTAGAGAGGAATTTGCCTCTGCAATTAAGTTTGCCAAAAGGTTTTTGTGCTGCTGTGTGCTGTGATTTCCATCAAGTTTAATGGTGTTTAAAATGTAACTGCTCAAACAGCAGGATGCTGCTTGGTGAATTTTATGCTGAATGTTTCCTTTAAATTCCTATAAACAGGGATATCTGCAATTGCTGTAACTGTTTTTCATGCTTGCAGCTTAAATACCGGCAAGATTAAAAATGCTGTAGAACTGAAAAAATGCACATGGGCTTATTTAGCTCTCTGGAGAGAGGGCTGGTCCATGCTCCATGGAAAGCACATGGAAAATTCAGCTTCAGGCCCTAGTGATGTGGAGGTAGGCTAGATCACAGAATCACAGAATCACAGAATCAGAATCACAGACTTGCTTGGTTTGGGAGGCACCTTAGAAATCATCTCATTCCAATCCCTGCCCTGGATAGGGACACCTTCCACTAGACCAGGCTGGTAAGAGCCCCATCCAAACTTTTCAGGGGATTTCAGAGGATTCTGACCTGTATTAACAAATGCAATTAGACACGAGGCCAGTGCTAGCCTAATCAATCAATTTTGATGGGGTTTGAGATTCTGATTGTGAGTTCTTTAGAAGGAGCTGCCTAAAATCTACATTTAGGTACTGATTTGCAGATTTTCCACTATGATAAATTTTAAATGGGAACCCAAATCATGATTTTGATATCTACGTTTACACACAAATCCAAACATTTTAAAAAATGTTGAACATGAGCCAGCTCATGTAAAAAACAGCAATCATAGGCTCTGAAAATCCATTTCTTCTTTCTCTCTCTACACTGCCATGCTCTTCTTTCACCTGCTATGCTTGTTTTTCATTTCATTTGTTAATGCAATTTACTAATGCATTAAAAATACATTAGACCCAGACATGTGCCATATATTTTTATCTAAACTGCAGACAAACCACTTAGATCTTAGAATTCAGGATTCTCAATTCTAAAAATGTTTGGGTTTTTTTTTCTCTCCACAAGCCTTCCCAGCTCTGTATCTCCTTTATTTGCCTTTTAGTACAGTTGGAGCAGACAAATAGAAGGTGTAGCCATGTTGTTTTTCTCCAATGAAGATAAAAGTTTCCTTCACCAGCATTACTTAAGCTGAGGTCTACAGACAGCGAATGACCCAGGATGTGATCCCTAACCATCCTCCAAAATCATAACAACCCGTAATGTTTCTTTCCAAATAAAATTCTGACACTAAGAAAGTGTGGTGTTTCTGGAAATCTTTTGAATCTTAACAGTGATCCACTGCTTTGTGAGATTTGCTAAAGCTGTGAGTGACTTTGCCATTGATGTCACACAATCATTTCTCTGTTGTGTAGTTCAGAAAACATTTAAGATGGATAATAATTGTAATGTGAAATTATTTTAAAATATGGTTTAATGGGAAAATTATGTATTTAATAATATTTTTCCTTCAGACGCGCTTGGTGTTTCAAAGTTATTATTTTTATTTTTTAGCAGATATTCGAGTTCTGTGGGTGTGTTTCTGCATTTATGTGTGTTTATGTATATGTGTGCAGTATGATTTTCTTTTTCTCATTACATTTTTTGGGGGGGAGAAGAAAAGAAAATATCCTACTGTGAACATCATCAGTTTGACAGAAGGTGCAAAATTAAAAAGTAAACTGAGCACTAGGACCTTTCCAAAATTACTTAAATAGAAAAATTATTTATTTTCTCTTTTATTATTTTAATTTAAAAATGCATAATTTGTGATTAAGTTTATTCTATTTATCTCAAATGGCAAACATAGGGTGATGATACATACTGAAAAACACCCATACTCTGGGGATCTAATTTGATGGCTAATGTGATTACATCAGACAAGCTTTATCTAATATCTTTGTGCCTTCAGAACATGCAGTGATTTCACCATTACTCAGAGTCTGGATTAATTTCATCCATCTCTGTTTCTTCCTGGAATTTAGCAATGCCCTTTGTAGCAAGGCTGTTCTTATCACGGTGGTGTTGCTATATACATTTTGGCCTTTGATAATATTCTTGTTTTCTGGATGGTGTCCATCCATTAGAAGGGGATGCTCTGATTTAATTACAGACTTTTACTGTACTGGTTAATCCAAAACCACAGAGCTCTCAGCTTCCCTCACCCTTCCTAAGACAAAAGAGATTATTTTTCAAGTTTCCAGGTTGAGGTGGAGTAGTCAGTTACACAGTCTAATTTGCAGTCATCTTTATATAGAATCATAGCATTGTGTTATAAAAGACCTCTCAGACTATCAAGTCCAACCATTCCTCCACCACTGACAAGTCCAGTACTAACCCACATCCCCAGGAGCGACATCCACATGGGTTTTAAATGTCTCCAGGGCTGGGGACTCCACCACTGCCATGGGCAGCTTTTGCCAGGGCTTGACTACCCTCTTCAGTGAAGAAATGTTTTCTTATATCCAGTCTAAGCTTTCTGTCAGGAATTAGCTTGTGCCCCACACTGAACAGGGCTAAGGAGAGGCAGGACCTCTGCAGTATTGCCCCTGAAGTTATGGAAGACTTTTGCTGATGTCTGGGAGCCACACAAAATGTGGTATTTGGGTGTGGAGAAAAAAAGGAAAAAAAAAACAGGAAAAATCAATATATAGAAATTAATGTGCCTGTTTGAGGACTCAAAACAGATGGGGAAAAGGTCAAGGATTCTTTGTTGCTAAGTGCATTTCTATGACAACTGCAGTGTGTATGTTATGAGTGAGCAGTCATTTGTTCCAGCTGCTGGATCATTAAAGGGGCTGCATTTCCCGCAGAACTGTGAATGTTAGTCATGAATTACTTGTTTTTTGCTTGCCCCTCTGCAATCTAGGTTTCAGCAGGTAGGACTCAGCCTGTACATGAAAGCTTCAGCCAGCTGCAGGTACACAGCTACACCACAGGCTTGGATGAGTCTGGATGGGTCTGGATGGCAAAGTGCCTACCTTGCAGGATGCTGGGGGAGCTTTGTTAGAAATCCTGGGAGATTAATTAAGATCCAGTTCTGAAATTCAGACTGTGCCCTCATGATGAGATACTCTATGAATCCATGATGCTGTTCTGATCATGGAGGAATGATTTGAGATACCCATGTGACTTATCCCACAGCATGTACAAAGGCTTACAAAATGTTTGGTTATTGCTTTAGAAAACATTAATTAATTAGAATGATGGTAGAAAACTACTTATTTCTTC